GTACCATTTTAATAGCATTTTCCTATAATTATTTAGTTATTTCTGTTATTCATTATTTACCTTTTTTGTACACATACAAATGAGTTTTTCTACATTTATTTTGTGTCTTTCTACTACATATATTTATCATATTTTTAATATATTTCTATGTATCTTTCTTGTAGATATTTTTTTAAGTATTTTACGATAACTATAATGTTTTTTCTGCTATTCTATAATAACCTTTATTGAGCCGTTTGTATTGATCTTTCCATTTATCACATTCTTCCATATTTATTGTATTTTCTCTCTTGATTTGTGCATGTTGACATCATGTGAATCCTTTCATTTATTTCTCCTATTTTCTACATTCATCTTTCTTTTTTTAAGGATTTTTTATAATTATAATGTATTTTTAATTGCCTATATTGTACCATTGTTGTTCAATATCTATTTAGTGTTACTTTTATTCTATATTTACCTTTTTTCTACACATGTTAATAGTACAGGGTATAAGCAGGAATCCTGAAGTCAAATGTAATTCCTTTTAAGACCTTTTTTCAGACCCTTTCCATATATTTCAAGACCTCATCACCACTTTGAGTTCTAACCGGTTACATTGGTGACACACCTTACCTCACATTGACTATATACAGTGTTAGGGAGTCATTTGCCCTCGTGTCCTCCTTCGCCCTCTGACGCAGCTGACCAGCCTCGAGCAGCTATCTCCCTTAAGGAGGGGCTGCCCTAGCATATTGTTGTTCTTACCAGTTTGTGACGGGCAGCTCTCGGTCAGAGATAGTTATTGTTGTGGGAAACCTGGAACACATCCTTCTTGGGTGTAGATGACCCCGAGCCATAAGCGACAACAACTGTGATTCAGTGTCCTCAGCTGTTATGATTACACTCTGAACTAGTTAAAACCTGGAGCTACAGGAGGGGTCTTCAGAGTTGATGTGGCATCTCTACCGTGTGGTCAACTCGTGGCCCGTGACATGTTTTGTGAATTCTCCGGCCGAAGCTCCAAATAAACCGTCAGTGTTTGCCATCAAAGCTCCAGCTCTCCTCGTGTCTCTGAGTCCTGACTCCATCAAAGCTCCAGCTCTCCTCGTGTCTCTCTGAGTCCTGACTCCATCAAAGCTCCAGCTCTCCTCGTGTCTCTCTCTGAGTCCTGACTCCATCAAAGCTCCAGCTCTCCTCGTGTCTCTCTGAGTCCTGACTCCATCAAAGCTCCAGCTCTCCTCGTGTCTCTTTGAGTCCTGACTCCATCAAACCTCCAGCTCTCCTCGTGTCTCTCTGAGTCCTGACTCCATCAAACCTTCAGCTCTCCTCGTGTCTCTCTGAGTCCTGACTCCATCAGAGCTCCAGCTCTCCTCGTGTCTCTCTGAGTCCTGACTCCATCAAAGCTCCAGCTCTCCTCGTGTCTCTCTGAGTCCTGACTCCATCAAAGCTCCAGCTCTCCTCGTGTCTCTCTGAGTCCTGACTCCATCAAAGCTCCAGCTCTCCTCGTGTCTCTCTGAGTCCTGACTCCATCAAAGGTCCAGCTCTCCTTGTGTCTCTCTGAGTCCTGACTCCATCAAAGCTCCAGCTCTCCACGTGTCTCTTTGAGTCCTGACTCCATCAAAGCTCCAGCTCTCCTCGTGTCTCTGAGTCCTGACTCCATCAAAGCTCCAGCTCTCCATCGTGTCTCTCTGAGTCCTGACTCCATCAAAGCTCCAGCTCTCCTCGTGTCTCTCTGAGTCCTGACTCCATCAAAGCTCCAGCTCTCCTCCTGTCTCTCTGAGTCCTGACTCCATCAAAGCTCCAGCTCTCCTCGTGTCTCTTTGAGTCCTGACTCCATCAAAGCTCCAGCTCTCCTCGTGTCTCTCTGAGTCCTGACTCCATCAAAGCTCCAGCTCTCCTCGTGTCTCTTTGAGTCCTGTCTCCATCAGAGCTCCAGCTCTCCTCGTGTCTCTCTGAGTCCTGACTCCATCAGAGCTCCAGCTCTCCTCGTGTCTCTCTGAGTCCTGACTCCATCAAAGCTCCAGCTCTCCTCGTGTCTCTCTGAGTCCTGACTCCATCAAAGCTCCAGCTCTCCTCGTGTCTCTCTGAGTCCTGACTCCATCAAAGCTCCAGCTCTCCTCGTGTCTCTCTGAGTCCTGACTCCATCAAAGCTCCAGCTCTCCTCGTGTCTCTGAGTCCTGACTCCATCAAAGCTCCAGCTCTCCTCGTGTCTCTTTGAGTCCTGTCTCCATCAGAGCTCCAGCTCTCCTCGTGTCTCTCTGAGTCCTGTCTCCATCAGAGCTCCAGCTCTCCTCGTGTCTCTCTGAGTCCTGACTCCATCAAAGCTCCAGCTCTCCTCGTGTCTCTTTGAGTCCTGTCTCCATCAGAGCTCCAGCTCTCCACGTGTCTCTCTGAGTCCTGACTCCATCAAAGCTCCAGCTCTCCTCGTGTCTCTCTGAGTCCTGACTCCATCAAAGCTCCAGCTCTCCGAGTCCTGACTCCAATTGCTTCAGAACTTTCCCCCACATACAGTATTGATTGTCCTTCCTCCTTATCTTCCAACCATTTGGACGCAGACTTGCATTTCCCCATAACGATGTTGTTTAACAACCGGCGTAAACGGACCTTCGCGCGCTATCAAGCAGTGAGCGTGCGATGTCCTGTTCAGATGACGTCAAATCCAACGGGATGCCATAAATATACTACACAGAATCACTACACACCTACGCAATGATTACATTCAGGCAGACTGTAGAACACCTCTTTGGACAATTCATATACTTATTGAGACCCCGCGGACACCCTGTAGAAGTTTCCCATATTTATTTAGTGTTTTCTTATATTCTATATTCACCTTTTGAGTACACATATTAATAGTATTTTTCTATATTTATTTAGTATTTAATTTTATTCTATATGTATCTTTCTACTAAATATATTTATTGTATATTTCTATCTTGATTTTTGCTTACCATGGTTACGTTATGCACCAATACACATGCTTTAATGTGAATTCTGCCCGGCAACAACCCTGATTCAGATATTTCACTGACATCAAGCTGTGTGTGTGTGTGTGTGTGTGTGTGTGTGTGTGTGTGTGTGTGTGTGTGTGTGTGTGTGTGTCAGATCTTGTACTTGAGTAAAAGTAGAAGTAGAAAAACAGAGAGCTTTTTGAACATTAAAGCATGGAGACATGTCAACAACAACAACAACAGATTCACACTTTGAGAGTCTGCAAATTAAAAACAAGCCTCGACATGAATTAAAGTAATGGAACAAAATACAAACGTTTATCACCTGAAGCTGAATATAAACCAGCTTTTAGAGAGGAACAGGATCATGTTGGTGAAACCAGAGGAGGACATGGAGACTAATGAATAACTTAGAGTTAACAAACTCCACCATTACAATACACATGCTTTAATATGAATCCTGCCCGGCAACAAACCTGATTCAGATGTTTTCATTCACAGATCTCTGCAGAAGCTTTATGCAAATCCACATCCAGGGTATTTCCCTTGATGCTAGATAGACCTCACTGTCCAACAGAAAGATGACCTTTAGCACAGTTTCCTTTCTGTTGATCTACACACAGTAAAGTGGGGGAGGCGTTTATAATGTGTGTGTAGGTGGGTTGTTTTTACAAAATATCAGAGCACACACACACACACACACACACACACACACACACACACACACACACACACACACACACACACACACACACACACACACACACACACACACACACACACACACACACACACACACACACACACACACACACACACACACACACACACACACACACACACACACACACACACACACACACACACACACACACACACACACACACACACACACACACACACACACACACACACACACACACACACACACACACACACACACACACACACACACACAGCTACAGACACTGTGTGTGGACTCTTTGTTTCTTTGCTAGTGTCAGGTGACTCCTTCAGGACCAACCCAGGCCTGTTTCAGAGTCTGAACAGAAATAAAGTCAAAGTGTGGACATAACATTAGTTTTCAATATATAAAAAGGTAAATAATGAGCTGTTTTGGTGCTATGTGCTTTGTTGTTTTGTATACATGCATTTCAAACTGTATATCAATTATTCAAAGTCACCTAGATGACGTGTTTCGGAAAATACACCTGCTAACTAGTTTCATAAAGCTCCCGCATGTAATCACATCACAACCGGATATTAAGGCATCTGGACTTTCAAAATAAAAGCGACAACAGCTGACGTGGTTTTGATAAACATGCTTTATGAAGGGTAAAGTGATTTTCTTTTGTATTTAAACTTAGTACAATTTGAAATATAAATGTATATAAGCGTAAATTCAAGTTATTGTTTTAATTTATTTTGATTAGTTTGTTTACATTTGTTTAAATCTGACCGGAAGTGGTGTGTTATTATCACGTGCAGCTTCACAGTGATCTAGCAAAGAGGAGCTACTGACAGCTGACCCGACTTCACATAGAGTTTAACACCACAATAACCTCAAATATGCAACAATTAAACCGGTAAATGCATGAAAAACGTGATTAAATGTGTAATAAAGCAGTAATATGTGATGTACCCTCCCCGTGCTGTACGGGCACCGTGCCCGGTGTACCAGGAAGAGACACACACACACCACCTTTACGACTATAACACACCAACACACACATGTTAAATAAATATAGCTCATATTCCATGCATGTATGGGGTTTAAATGCAGGTTAGGTGCATAATAAAGCCGGGTAATAACTTTATTTCGCGTGCACAGGCCTGCTGTAGTTTCGCAGCATCGCCCACCCTGCACCATTTCCGTGTTTTACACCGAATCACTCCCGTTAAATCCGGTACAAAACGCGTCTCTCTGCAGGAACACACACCGAGAACAGCTGATGTTCTGATACAATGTTGCAGGAGAGACACTGAGGCGGCGTCACATCAAAGGCATGGTTCTGATGGTTCTAATGGTTCTAATAATGGTTATAAAGGTTTCTAATGGTTCCTCACCCAGTGCCACCTCGCAGGCTTTCCTCAGCTGGCTGTGGTGCGCCTTCTTCACCTCTTTATCGGCCAAAATCTTCTCCAAAGCCCGCGTGAGGAACATGTTCGTCTTTTTGCCCTCAAACATGTCGTGTTTTTCGGGGGCGAGGTTTGATCCTGATCCTGGTTTCTGGTCCTGGTGCTGGTTCGGGGTTTTAGGGGAGGGGGTTTTAGGTTTTTTTTAGGGGTTGGGGTTAGGAGGGGGGTGGGATAGCAGCCCAGCAGAGATGTAGTCCTTCAGTAATGTCACACACCCGAACACACAGACATAAATAAAGACAGAAGGTGGGGTAAATCCCTCAGACTGCCATTAGCGACCTGCATCCTCCTGCGCCATGTTGGAGAGAGGAAGTGACGTCAGGAGCGTGAGGGGAGGGAGGGAGAGGCTAGAGAGAGAGAGAGGGGGGGGGGGGGAGAGGGTACTGGTAATCCTGTAAACCAGTATGAACTCATTACTGTCCATTCATACATGTTGGGAATGAACTCCTTCAATGTGTGCAGGGTTTGTTGAAT